CCCCACTTCATAGCCCTGTAGATAGCAGTTTTCCTTTGCTAAATGGCTTTGCTGGCACGCAGTAGCATTTTTTGTTTTTTCTTCTAAGCACTAATAATCCTACGCATTGTTTGCTGTGTTTCAATTGCATTTTCTTCAAGTTTAAAGTATTTGCAAAGTGGAACAATGAATTAAAGATAGTAGCTATGGAAATAGTTTGCAACTTCAGAAACAAGAGTGGTAGCTGGATTACTTATTAGCAACAGCTCAAGAACTGGAAATCACATTTTAACATGCTAAATTTTGTAAGCACAATTCACTGTTAGAATCTTTCGGCTCTTTGCATGTGTGATGGTCTGGATCAATGTGTCTGCATAGCATAGTTGATTCTTGATTGAAGGAGGCCTGCAGAGACCGAATGCTGAGCATTGGTGCTGTGGAGTGACAGATGATGAACGTATCTCTGTGCCTTGTAAGTATGTGGGTGAGGATTTTGGAGGATGACCTTCAAAGCTCGTCACTACTATAAGACAGATGGCTCTCATTGTAGTAGAATGACATTTGGTGGGGAACATCCTGTGATTTTTATTCCATATTTAAGACTTCTAAATCCCTGAGATATCCAAGGAAGTAAACGGAGGGAGGGAGAGAATGCTTGGGCATTGTCTGCTCTCAAGACCCAGATGCAGTAAAAACCAAATGGAAGAATGGTGATGGGTTGGAAAATGTGTATAAAGTGTGTATATATGAAACAGATAATGTGGAAAATAGTTTGGGGATTCATTTGTCTGAAATTCTGGCTTGAAGACATTGTGCCTTGAAAGGAGTTAGAACTTGGCCTATGCTTAGGTTGACAGAGAATCATTGGAAATAAGGATGCATTCCCTTATGAAGAAAAGCATAAAAAGCATCAAGATCTACTAATTTCAGAAAGGATAAAGTTTGAGAGGACAGTGCTGTGAGGACAGATTGGGAGGGTCTTTATTGCAAACACTTTGACAAAACTCAATGAATGGCTTTTGCCAAAAGCAGTTTATTTCGATGCCCTAAGGTATTAATATTCCAGAGTTGGGGTGTGTATGTGTGTGTGGATGGACAAAGGGTGGGTTTCCTTTCCTTTATATGTTGAAGATCATGGAATTGTAGAATGGCCTGGGTTGAAAAGGACCACAACGATCATCTAGTTTCAACCCCCTGCCTTAGGCAGGGTCACCAGCCACCAGGCCAGGCTGCCCAGAGCCACATCCAGCCTGGCCTTGAATGCCTCCAGGATGGGGCATCCACAGCCTCCTTGGGCAACCTGCTGCAGTGTCACCTCTGGATGTGCTGCTGATGCACCACACTAATGTCAAATAGATATTGACAGTTGTGATGAGAAAGGCTTTTCTGACATGTGGTTTCTGCACCCTTGCCTACCAACATCTTATTAGAGAGCAGCTCAAGCACTTGTGAAGGAATCTGATAGTGTGCTACCATGAATTACAGTCATAGAATCATAGAATATCCCAAGTTGGAAGGGACGTCTTTCATGCATTGCTCACAGTCTGGTGCTTGGAAAAATTAGAGATGTTCCAAGAATAAGAAACCACACGTGTTACTTTTGCCAACTGTGGTGATGAGAAAACACTTGAGAGAAGCCTGTCATTGGAAAATGTGATACTTCCCTGAAAAATGTTGGGTCTTTTTCTCCTCCTCTTACAAACTGTGGTTTTCTAAACTGCTCCCTGCACACAACTGAAGTTTCCTGTGCCCCTTGAACAGGGAAACTGATCAACAAAATGATGCAGTTGTGTTCTCCGTGCTGTTGTAGTGTGTCCGTTCCGTTCCGTGCTGTTGTAGTGTGTCCTTTTGCCTTCCCCCTTTTGTTCCTTAAGGAGTAATTTATCAAAATAAAAGCCTTTCAGATTTTGAATCTGGAGGACAGAAAGTCTCACACGCAAGGACTTGATGTTGCACCAGAGAACTTCCTGTGTTGAATTACACTGAGCCTGTGATGCTCCCCGCTCAGCTGTGTCTGTTCTGAAGGCTCACTTACTGAAAGCCTGGTGGATTTGGCAGTACTCAGTGGAAGGGGCCAAGTGGTCCTCAGGGCAGTGAGGAGTTCTGCTGGCAATGAGGTAACTGGGACTTCGCCCCATGGCATCTTAACGTTGATGTCCAAGATGAAGTAAGCCCAGTAGATGGAGGAGAGAATGTTGATTTTCAATGTTGATTTTCTAGATTTTTTTTTTTTTTAAACTCCTTTAAGATGTTTTAAATAATTCCCATTAAATTCATTTTAAGACTGAAACCAATTGTTAATATCTATAAAGCCTCGTGAGGTTTTTTTAGTCCTGTTCTGCCATCTGGTGGTGGGCATGAGGCAAATAAAAGAGATTAAACCCCAAGATTTAAGAAACTATTGCTAAAATGTTCTTAGAGATGCTGGGAAGTGTTGGTGATACTGAAGCACTGTAATGTTATTCATGGGATTGTGTTCAGCAGTAACTTCTTGCTAGTAATCTGGCTTTTCTGTATATATATTTTTTGGCTGGAGTATGAATTAGTTTTGTATTTCAAAATACCATGGCTTGCAGTGTTGTTTTTCTGTTACCAGAAAATTGGTGGTTGGGACAGGTAAGAACAAGATATGATGTTTTTATTTTGTAATTACGTAAGTCATTGTTTTTTGTGTATTTTTTGGGTCAGAATCTGCATTGCCAGGCTGTGCTTTGGCGTGTGAACTGCTAGGTGGTGCTGAAGTGCTGGAGGTTCCATCTCATCACGGTGAGCTGCATTTTTCAGCACAAAATGACATCATTGTTATCTAAAGAAGTGCAGTAGCTGTTTTCCAGTGTACTGTAGCTCCTGTTGGTGCAATATCACTATAAAGGCTAGCAACTGATAAATCCTGGCAAAGTGCAATGTGACGTGAAGTTCCATCTTTTTATACTGTTTCAAAAGAAAATTCTTGCAGAACACATTTGAGAAACTTGTAAATGAAAAATGCTCATTCAGGTTTACAGCTCATGAAGACTGCATGCTTGATCTAAGGAGTAAAGAACTTTCAACACTTGATTGCAGAAGTGGGATTTAAGTTTTATATTGTTGACAAAGTGGAAGATAGCAGAAACCCATGGTTATATGAATGCATGGATATTTTTTTTACTTTGTGAATTCATGGAAATTGCATTTTAAAATAATAGTTGAGGGGGAAAATGTAAAAATGTGAGATTGGAAGTAAGTGGGTTTCCAAATTAAGGCCATGTTAAGACTAAGTTTATGGATACTAATGGAAAATTTGCATTTGCTTACACTATGAAGTCTCTGATGAGTAATTGAGAGAGGGTAAGTTTTGTAAACGTTGGCAGATGTGGCTGTGAGGAGATGAGATAGAAGGTAAGTGTTGCTTGAGGAACTAAAGCAGTGTCTAAGCTTGTTTCTTGGTTTGAAGGAACTGGATTTGAGGGAGAAGTGGGGAGGAAGTTCCAGCTAGGGAGGGGTTGATCGTATTGTGATGAACTGAATGGTAAGACTCAAAGTGAGGACAAGAAACTTGAATCTGACAGTGCAGAGCAGTGAGGAGTGAGGACTTTGCAGAGGAGCAGACAATACTACGAGCAAATTGCAGAAGAGCTTTTTTGAACATACTTGAGAATTCAGAGCACTGGGCAGTGCTTAGAATGCTTGTGGAGATTTATCTTTGTCACAGCTTTAAGGCAGCCCTGGTGGGAAAACTAAAGCGCGTATCTGCTATAATTCTGCATATTTTCATGACCAATTCAGGAATGCGTGCTTCACAGTGGCATTCAGAACTGATAATCCTGATAGGTTTTTCAGCAGTAAATGTCATTCTAAAGAACTCATGTGCATCTGAGTAAAAAACAGCAGATAATTGCGATAAATTCTGAACCAAAGTTATACTTAATGTACAGTGCACACATCTCACTGTGAACAAACTTCAGTCTTTTCAGGTCAGCTTTTTTTATTTTTTACTCCTTTCCGTTAAGTGAATTTCATTTTGGAGTGAACTCATTGGCTCAAAGGAGATCTTCGTACTCGAAAGAAAAATTGGAACGCTCTTCTGTGTAACCTGAGGCTTGGCATCATAGGAAACTATGAATTCATAAAACTTGCCTTGTGATAATTGTTAGGCACTGGACTGTCAGTTTGAATGATTGCAGTTCTCATTATCTTCAGATGCTGTGTGTTACTTTTTGTCTATGAATATGTTGAATTGAGTTTTGGCACACGCAGCCAGTTCCGCTCCTGACAGCAGCGCTATTGTAGGTGTGAAGTGAGAAACTGCTGTAGCGTGTGTGGAAAATGAGCTTTGTTGTTTGCAGAGCTCTGGGGGGCTTGAGACAAAATACAGGGAGTAATTCAGACCATTTTGAATATACTTGTCACTGGAATGGTGCCTTGTTCCAGAAGTGTTACGTGATTCTTTCTGACCTTTACGCAAGAACATAGCAGTGCAAGCAGCAAGAATCTCTTCTTAAATTTAAAATATTCTGAAGTAGCTTCATGTATTTTGGTGATTTTTTTTGTTTGTTTGTTTGTTTGTTTTAAGTAGATATTGCTATGGAAAGAGTGTGAGTGAGCTGTCTGCATTTAGTGTTTTAATATAACTACCTTTTCTATCTGGTAACTGTTTCCTAGGGTGTGGTAGGGGATAGGAGGGTCTGTCTTCAGGCATGGAATAGTTTGGTTGTCTGAGTTTCAAAGTGCTTCGTTCCAGTAGTGCAAATGGTTTTGAGCTTGAAGATGTTGATAAAAGCCCCCTCAGTCCTTGACTTTAAAAAAAGCAAAAAAAAAAAAAAAAAAAAAAAAAAAAAGCAAAAAAAAAAAAAGCTTTGGAAATGCTGTAAAAAGGAGCATAATCTCCTGTGTTTGGCTGCCACTTTTTTGTTCAATGTGTTTTGTTCCAGTGTCTTATTTTAGTTTCTCCAGGGCGTGCAGTGCTGTCCCGAGCAAACAGTTCCAGTTCCAGAAGCACAGTGAGGGCTCATCTGACTGCTCTGAGGAGCATGGAGTGGGGTTGTTTCTCTGCCTCACCTCTGCCCAGCTGTAGCTCAGAATCTTGCCCAAGAGTTGATCTGCAGCCCTGTCTGCCTTGTAATTACTGGAGGGGAAGAGGTGATATCTCTTGGCAGAGGTTGGTTTGGCCTTGCAACTGAAGCAGAGCACCAAAGTCTGAGACTTATGCAACTGTTCTGATACCTGACCTTTGATAACCTAGGACACAGGGAGCTTAAGTCATTTGGTCGTCAGTAACACTGGGAATAAATTGTAGCTCACAGACTTCCTATGAAGCTCAGGTTAATAATGCTTGGAGAACTCAAACGGACAGGGCTTTCTACGTAGTGTATCTGCATCACTCATTTCTGATTCTGTTACAGTTATTGCTTAGATTCAGGAATCAGTCGTTGAAAGCAGGAAACACCTTGGTCTTTTTCAGGTCTTCTACTGCTGTTGCCAATCCGGGCATTTCTGTGGGCCTCAACTCTTCAAAGGTGGGAACTGCAAAGTCCTTCTGTGTGAGAAGATGTGCATGCAGGCAGAAAGCTGTCACGCTAGCAAGCTTGATTTGAAGGCAGGACCTGTAGCTCTTCCCTTTGCTGGCTGACACTGTGTCTGAAACAAAGCAGTCTACCTGAGCTGCCTGACCAGCAAATAATGTGGAATGACTGATAGAGGTGCTTCTTGCTTTTGTTATTTATTGCAGAGACCAAGTTTCCATTGGGGGTAAAAATGAAAAGAGATTCTGTGTACGTCATGAATGTAAAATGGTGTCGTGTTGAAACGGTATTGCTGGTATGCAACAGTGTGTGCCAGAGTTACTTTAAGTTACTTTAAGTTACTGGCAAGGGGAAAATGTTTATAACAGAGGGTTGAAAAAGTACTGAGTTCCAGATCTGTCATAAAGGAATGTAAAATGTAATTAACCTAAAATAACCTTTAAAAAATTCTTGAGCCCTGTAAATTAAGTGAGCTGTGGAGATAACTTAATGAGAGATTTTAATTTTGTATCTTAAATAATATCCTATTAAAATCCCCCAATTTTGCTTTGTAATGGAATCCGCTGAGACTCGCTGGTTCTCACAATGACCTCGTGATTGAGTAACATTGTTAATATAGTTGGTGCCTGTTGGAGGGGTAAGGTCTGGGTTAATGGCAGCATTTGTTCTTCAGCTGCTTGAAGCCACAGAGCCCCAGTTGAAGATATGAATGTTTGAACTTCATTATTTTAATGTGCTAATGTGGTACAGCAGCAGTAAAAAGTAGTCAGATGATGAACTCTTGTTGCAGAGTTGCACAGTTTGTCCATGAAAATAAATCATTGTGTGAAGCTTGAAATTTAAATTCTCTGCCTTGGATTTTAAATAAAATGTGCAACTTCAAGCCTAAGGTGGGTTCAGCTCAAAAGTAGAGGTATTTGGGTCCCTGTAACAAAGAGCAGTGCTGGAGGATTTGTTTGCGCAGATCTGGTTGTAGCACACACCAAAGGTTCCACATTGCCTTTTAGAAGAGGCATCATAACCTGTTTGTTACAGATAGCTAACTGTGGAGGTGCTTCTGGACAATTTGCATCTTGGCTCTTCCAAATATTGATAATAGAACTAATTTACGTGAGGAGCATTGTTAAGGAAAGTGTATGGTGTGTTTAGTGTTGTGTCAAGAATCCAAAGGTTGAAGACAAAGGTCAGGCATTCTGCTCTCATTTCATCAGTGCTGTCGGCCTTGGCGGCCAGTTTGCAGCTCTGCATACTGTGTGTGTGTGGTGTGAGCTAGATCCCGTGTAGGGCTCCTGCCAGTGCTGAGGTCCTTTGGTTCTCGTGCTCCTACTGTGTTCTTCTAAAAGCTCTTGGTTTTGTTTTTCCCGTTCCTTCCCCCTATCTCCAGAGAGCAGGAACAAAACTCCCCACAGTGAAAATCCGTTCTCTCCATGCAAGAGTAACTAGAAGAACTGTGATTTCAAAGTGCTTTGTGCACCAGTTTGCTTCTGCTGTGACCTCCTTAGTGCTTTTTCACTCTAGCTTCTTTGTGCTGTCATCAACTAATCTGGAAATGTCCAGGTAAAAGCTATAGTGTTGCATCTGGTATCACAGTTTTTGCTTAAAATTTGCATCTAGCTTTTTTTATCCCACAGTAACTGGGTCTCATGCAATGTCTGTTTCTGTAGTATCTCCTCGCTGTAAATGAACAGTGTTCTGAATCATGAGCTTTTGACCCATAAGCTCTTTGATTCTGCTCAAATGACAGTTTGCAATATAAAATTACATAACTGGTTGTTTTAGGGCAATTTTGTTGTTTTAATTCACTCAAAAAATGTGGCTTTCAAAATCAAGTAAAAATAGTGTTCTGAGTTGAAAACATATCTAAGATTTCCTTTAGAAGTGATGTATCTAATTAGAACAAAGCAGGCTAATGAAATAAAGAAGTTTAGCAAAATAAACTGAATGTTCTTAAAAGAAGCAGTTTATATGAGTGTGTATCAGTTCAGGTGCATCTGAACGGAGAGGAAAAGTACCATGCCAGCATTGTCAGATTATATTGATTAGGCATCAGCATCAATCCTGTTTGAACAGAAAGCTGTTTAAAATGATGTACTTTCCAATGACATCTTATTTTCTAGTCGATGATTTGTCTGCTGACATATTTATTTTCTTGATGCAGTTTACATACTGTGCTGAAGTTGTTGCAGACTGAGAAATGTTTGACTTACGCCATAGAATAGGAGGAAAATCAGATCTCATGGCTGATGTAAATGTGTAGAAATATCAGGTAACATTTACAAGCAAAGCATTGGTCATTTAAACACCAGCTTCATTCCAGGAAGACAGTCTAGCAAATGTAATAGAATGTTTCTCTTCTTTTGTGCTAAAGATTATCTGGAAAACAGTTACATTTGGGTTAGTTTTAAAAAGAAAATGGCAGCAGAACTTTGTGTACATGAGGCACTGAGAAGATTGAAGGATCTTGTTCCATGTGGGTTATTGTCAGACAGATCTGTGTACCAACTTCCCCCATAAAGTGTCAAGAATAGATTAAAACCTACTTAATTGGAAGGGTATTTGGGCATTAAAATCAGCTCCACAATGAGGTTGTGGATTTCTGTAATCTTTTTGGCTGCTGAGTTCTTCTGGTCGGTCTTACCTAAAAGTGAAACTGCTCTTGTTCCTGGCTTTCTCTTAAAATTACTACAACTTGTAGTGAAGTATTGTGGTGCCTGTCTTCTTTAATTAACCACTGCATTAATGATGCGCACCCTTCTATCTGCTGTCTGATTTCCTTATTAGTCCTACTATCGACGAGTCTTGTATGTCAGGCTTTGCTTGTGTTATATGGAATCTCCATCTGAGAATGGCTGTAGGCAACCTTAAGTAATTTTTTTAGCTTTGCTTTTCTTTGCACATCAGGAAACTTCCCTAGCAGGTTCCTGAGGTTTAAAAGTAGGTGGTTGCAATTTCACATTCTGGAGCATGTAGTGAAAGGTTGGTTAAACTCCATTTTGTGCTAACTAAAATGGATGAAGTTCTATTAGACTCCATTACATCCAAGCTGCATAATTGAGCTCACCCTTTTTGTTAGAAGCTGGCATTTTCTGCTGAATCCCTTGGTCCAACGTAGTGAGAAGTGTATAATATTATCCACCAACCACAGGTACAACTAATTTGTTTGCTATGTTTTTCAGATAATTACTTTAATCATATAAAATGCTTGAATTCTGACCTAATTCTGGCTGTCTCGTTTACAGCTAGTTCTTGTGTTCTGGCATTTTGTCTTCAGAAAGAAAAAAAAATATGTGAGGAAGGCTAAGCATGTTGGGATTGTGGCTGAGTGCTGCTGCATGTTTAGGGAGCCCTCTGACCTCAGCTGGATCCAATTAAGTAGCAGTAACCTGGGGTCTGTGTTACCCACTGGGGACCAGGGGAAGTGATGCTGACTGCAGTGTGTTGAGGAGGCTCAGCCTCTGTAGAATGAAATTAGTGGCAGTTTTCAGTTACTTATACGTAGACTTTGAGACACTGGCAACATTGCTTTCAGTCTTAGCTGTGCTTAGTTATAGCTCAAAATGTAAGTCAAAAATCCAGCTTTTAGTAGCAGCTAAAATATATGCAGGAAGAGCTTATAAGCAAATTAAAAACACACACAAAAAAAGACCACACTGAAGTTTCATTCAAATTCGAGTAAGCAACCTGGTTTAGGATGAAAAAGCATTGTTGGGGAGCAAGGAACCTCAGCAGAGACCTGCATCTCTACAGCCCCCAGGGAACCTAGTTAAGGATCTCCTGTTAGAGACACAGAAATGCTGAGTTCCTCCTTCCCACCTGCAAATGAGAGTTAAGAATGGTTAAAGGGAACGTGGTTACAAACAGGATAAAGGAGGTTGACACAGCTTTAAAAACAATTCAGGAGTGAAATGTGAACTACTAATTGTGCTGTGTAACCTATTGTTTAACATAATTTCAGTAGACAAGAACCGAAAACTGGCAAAGGCAGTACTGGTATTTCAAAAAGCAGAAAAGGAGATCCAGAAGAGATCTGTGGAATTGGCCATGAGGCTGTTCTCTTTGTGCTGCAGTTGCCTGACTCCCAGTTCTTAGCAGTGTAACCACTGGGTTGTGGTAAACAAAATGTGAATAGAGCAGCCTTACAGTCATTCACATAGCCCTGACAGTGCTGATCTCACAGTTTATATTTTGCTCTTACAGTAGGTTTGTCATCAGTGGTTTTATATTTATTTCTAGGTCATCAGTTAAAATGCTGAATAATCTTATATGCATGACTGTTCTCTTGACACAAAATGGTCCTATTCAGTAGTGATTCATCTTCTGACAGCTACTTTTTAAAATCCGATGGAATGACTGGTTCTTAATCAGACAGTTTTGCTGTTTCACAGAGATTTTTTTTTAATGGAGTTAGCGTCAGCAGAGGCAGTATTTTAACACACACAGACACCATCCAAAAGCACCTGAGAACTCTTCTCAGAAATTGCAGTGATTTATTTGGAACCTTATTTTCCATAACAACCTCAACAACTGGCGTTACTTCTACTTTTGTGCTTTAATTGGAAATGTTGATACGAGATTAAAATAATTATTTTGCCTGGGATTGACATTGTATGGGCATTGCTGAAACCTCCTGGATAATCTGCTTTCTGCTTAACTCTTGTTTGGCAGGGCAGGAATGGGCTTTTTTTAGACATTTCCCTTGTGCTGCTTGTTGCAGGAGCGTTACAGGTGGTACTAAGAAGGAAAGTGGGCTGCTAGTGTGGGGAATTCAGGAGTGAGGCTTCTCCAGGTGGCACAAAACAGAGCAGACTTCTACAATAGACTGATGCTGATGTCAGAGAGCTTTGTGGTTTATTTAGAACCATGCTGTTGTTGCATCCTTCCATCTTAGCTTCTGTTCAGTTGTGTTATACTTCATTGACTTCAGATGGAAACCTTCTTCTTCAGCTTCATTGCCTCTTTTGGAAAGTGTCTCCCTCGATTCCATGTGACTGTGAAGATTTGCATTTGATATGAGATCATTCTGCCAATATGGTGTTTTTTTACTTGACGATGTTGGCAACTCCAGAAGATTCCTTTCAATATTAAGCCTTTTGCCTTAGCAGATGATTTTTCGGCATATCACTGTGGATTGCCATTGGTGATGGCCTGTTTTCTTCTGTGAAGACCTAATGTTTTGGTAGAATTGAATTCTGTTTTTTGATTTATTTTTTTTTCTATCATAACTTTGTCCCGTATCCTGTCAGACTCAGTATGTTACCAGCTTTCTGAGAAGCTGCTTTTGTTGATGTATATAAAAGACTCCACTTTCACAGAAAGAATTTCCTCTAGTGATGATGCCAAGACTCAGAAGACCAGGCAGTGTTATGGCTTTGTATTTGGTTGTAATCAAACTGTCTCTCACCATCGTTTTGTCTCGTTAGAGCTGGAACAGCTCTGTGGGTGCACATGGCACGCTTTGGCATTGCTTACAAATTTCCCTGAAGCCAGCGGTGCGCGGGGTCATGGCTGCAAGAAACATTGAGCAGTGGAAACCAAAGTTTAAGCAATTGTTCTTTCTTTCCTGGTAACTTGCAAGCCGCTGGCCGTTTTTATCCAGGCTTACGGAGGGGAAGAAATGTCAAAAATAATTGCGATTGCAATTTCATAAGAATTGGAGCAGAGTGGGAGCCACGTCCGTGCATTCTCTCCGAGTTTTGTGGTTCTGCTTGTTGTGGTTTGGCAGCGCTGGCTGACGCAAATGTCACAGAGCGCGCGGCCCTGCGGTCAGCTGGGGATGTGCTGGCCCAGAGCGTGCAGGTGAAGTCGGAGAGCTGACCTTGCATCTGAAGGGGCATGGGAGGAAGCAAGGTAACAAAAAACAAAATGGAGCCTGCAGGAAACCTGGTGTTCTTAATTCTGCTGCTTGAGAAGCAACTCGTAAGTATTGAAAGAATTTTATATCCTTCTGTCTCTAAAAACATTGATGCTAGTGACCTGACTTTGGGCAGTGTTGGAAGGACAGCTTTGTAAACACTTCTTGTAATGCTTGCCCACAGTTTGGTAGAGGGAATGCCGGAAAGCTGATGCAGCTAATGGAAGATCTTTCCATGTGCCTTTTTTTGCAGCGTTCTGTGGTTGCCCCACCCTGAGCTGCACTGAAAGGTTAGTGCAGGGAAGTGACAAGGGGCTTCCCTGGGCTGTAAATCCAGAAAGCAGGGAGAAGAGCAACCCTCAGATTTGGCTGTGAGTGCAAAGCACGCTTTTGGCATCATCTGCATTTGATTTCTTTGCTTTTCAGGACTTAAGACATTAAAAAAAGAAAAAAAAAAAAAAAAGTATTCTACAAGCTTGAAAAAGAGACTGTTATCTAATTGGCTTTTGGTTAGGAGGATACTGATTTCTAGGTCAATGTAAAACAAATGAGCATTTAAATTGAAGAGGAGCAGCTGTTCCAAAGCCCCTTTCCACAGTGCCTGGTTTTGTTAAGGATAATTATGTCTAATTTTAAATTATGATAGCTTTGAGTATTGAGCTTTGCCTTGTTACATCCACTAGCTCATTCTCCTTCATCTTTAAGAATGTTCCATCATGGAGCTAGGTTTCTAATTTGATTTATTTTCTAGCCTCTTGAATTGTGAAGAGAAATACAGCTTTAAAGGTTTTTTCAGTGCTTTTATGCAACTGTTGCCATGCTTCCACTTTCTTTTTTGGGATCACAAAACAGATACAATATTGTCTACTGGGAAGATACTGCTGAGAAAATACATATTTGTGTAAATGTGCAACATTTTTGTTGGCATTTTTAGCTTGAAAATGGAAACTTTAGGTTCTAGTTGAAAAACTCAAGAAAGCTCTTCAGTTCTTATAAGGAAACATATGCTAAAGATGTCCTGGGGATTGCATAGTGCTTGTTTCAATTAACACATTGATATTTCCTGTCAGTTCTTGAGACAAAAGCCAAGATGACAATTCAAATGATAAATGAATATTGTATTTTAACTTCATACTGAGGAGCTTTGATTTATTTTCTTTTTTTTTTTCTTCCCCAGAAAGATTTCAACTCTGAAGCTCAGTGTTGTCTGAGTAATTTGGCCACAGGTCTGAACTCTCTAAACGGCACGTGCTGTAAATACGTAACCAAGCACATCTGTTCTTATCCAGTGGTTGTTGCTGGACATGGCAGTGTTATAACGGCATGGAAATGACTGTGTGCATGAATTGAATTTGTAGTAAAACGTAATTATAATTTGCAGGAAATGTGATTGATGTATTTTTCTGTTTAATATGAAATCCAGACATTTCATACTGCTTTTACCTGCTGCTTTTATGGAAAGAGGTTGCTTTCATATGCCTTGCATTCGATGGGCAATCCATCCATATTTTGTAGCTTTTGTAGAACCAGTTTCTGTGTCTGGCTTCACAGTGTCTTTTCTATGAGATTCTTGAAACTCCCAGTTTTGTTGTTTCTATGAACTTTTCAGTAAACGTGAATAGCTTTTACTGGCAAAATGGGACAAGAATTGGTGTTGGGTCCTTGAGCTTTGGTTCTTTCACATCCTCATTAAGGGTATTCATCGGTGATGTTAAAGTCCAAGTCTGTAAAGCATGAGGGCTGTGATACAATCTAGTAAAGGAGCCCTGATGTTGGCTGTGTCATTGGAGCACTCACTGAACAGGAATTCCATTTCCTAATGCTCAAATTTGCAGTGATAACTTCTCCACCAATCGTGAAATGTTTCATTTTAAAATAGGAACTGTATTTGAAATGTAACATCAGAGCAGCTAGTTTCCATTTTGTTCTAATGCCAGTTTAACTCCAGAACGAGATTGTTTACACAGTGAGTATAACATCTTATGTAAATATTAAAGTTTAGTTGAAGATTCCTTTCCAAAGATGTTAGCTTTCCAGGGGGCTTCAGCCAAGGATCTTACTTCTGTCTGGAAGCTTGTGACTCTTCTGCATATACCGTCTATGGTACAGGATGAGAGCAGTTGGTCTGTAGCTGAGTGAACCATTTCCTCCACCCTTGTCGACAGCAAATTTACATTTGTATGGCAGATGAGTGGTGGATCGAGTGGGGGAGGGGGCAGTTCTGCACAGGAGTCCAAGCCTAAGGATCTGAAATCATGCAAAAGCGTGATGATGGTGTAAACCTTGGGGATTTTAGGCGGGTTTTTTCCTTCATTTCTTCTTCCTATAACCAAGCCTCATAACGGAGTTTATTGTGGTTCAGAATGATTTCCTATTACCATTCATTGTTAATGCGGGGCTTTGCTCCAAAGGTCTTAGTTTCTCAAATTGCCTCTTGTAAATAGGCAGGAAATCCAGGAGCAATTCAGACAAGCTGTCAGGCGAGTTTCCTTTGGTTGACTGCCAAGTTTCTTTTTTTTTTTTTTTTTTTTTTTTTAAAGTTACCTCATCAACCTTCCTTGTTTTGGTAGCCTGTCAGTTTGTCTCAAAGGGATACGTTTATAAATCTCCAGATAAACATAGCTTGATCAAAAGAAATAAATAAAAACCCCAGAATATTTAAGCTTCATATTGGCAGTCAAACCTTTGGCTCATTTTGGTTGCACAGACAGACATCGCCAAAGATTTAAGGGAAAGATTCCATTGAAATTGACAGCTGATAATCTTCTGGAAAGTGATCTTTCACAGCAGGCAGTGTGTGGTGTGAGGAAATGTTATGTCTTTAAGGATTGCCACTACCTGGTGTCTGGTTGTTTTTAGTTTTTACTGACGAAAAAGAAGAGTTTTGAATCATGAAAAATGTGTATTTTTAATCTGAATGTGCTAGATTAGGAAATTGTTCTTCCAAAGCTTTCTTGATGATAAAAGCCTCCAATAAAAAGCATTGTATAGATAACCTAAAGTCTATGCTTATTGTGATCTGGTCTTGCTCTTTGTGTGGCAAGTGATCCATGAATGGATGGTTCTTCTTCATTGGATCATCTTGTGTGCTGTTGACTTCCTCCACACCACATCTCCACGTTACAGGGTCCAAGTTGTATTGAGAGGATTTCTGCAGCAAATATTGAATATCACGAGTGGCTGAATGTGTCACTTGGGTGAGCTGTCAATTGTCACTGGTTTTAGAACTTGGGAGTTACGAGTTCAAGGTGTGCAGCTGTTGAATTCATTTAAACTAGGAAGTACGTAAAGCTTTGGTGCACAGCGCAATGGTCTGATTGCCAAGAGAGCATTGACTGGTTTTGCTTTTGTAGTAGTTGCAGGTTTCCTTTCTGATACAGTGGTACAGACCTCAGAAGATAGCAGGATGCAGTGACCTGAAAGGGCTACAAAGTCACGACAAAACAAATTGCTCTTCATATTTTAGTTCTTAATAAGCTGGGTGAAACATTTTCCGCAAGTATTGAGTGGATGCTACTAAAGTGTGTTGTGTAAATCTGTATAGAAGCTTGGAAGTGCACGTGTATATACACACGCTAATATAGTAGATACAGATTCCTCTGTTAATTATCTCCCTCCTTTGTAGTTTCTTTGGTGATTAGAAAATGTGAGTAATAGGTTAATAGCTCCACAGCTTCTCAGTTGTTGTAAGATTCATTGTACATCAGAACGACTTCATAGCGTCTTCCTGTGGTCATTGCTTTCATGTGAAATTGGTATGCCTTTAGTTGTCTTTCACTGCTATTCAAAAACCCTTGGGCTATAGAATAAACTGAAAGAACAGTTTCTTTGATTATACTGCAGTTATCAGAGGGAAAACTTTGGTCATCTTCAGACACAGTTATTGGAAACTGTTCTAAACTTTCAGATTGTTCTGTAAGATGAAGATCTGTTCAATGCTTATGTGAGTTGTCATAGCTATCACCCCCATTTCAGAACTATTTTTCAATTCACCCCTTTTCTGCTACCCCTAGTTCCTTTGTGGGGTTTGTCATTTAGGATGCAGTTCTCACTAGATGCCACTTTCACACCTTCCATGTGAGTAAGAGTGTAGAATCATGGAACGGCTCAGATTGGAGGGCACCTTAAAAATCATGCAGGTCCAACCCCCTTTCCATGGGCAGGGCTGCCACCCACCAGACCAGGCTGCCCAGGGCCCCGTCCAACCTGGCCTTGAATGCCTCCAGGGCTGGGGCACCCACAGCTTCTCTGGCCTGGAACAGTTACACTGGGTTAGCGCATTAACTTGTCTCTGACAGGCACCTGCAATCAGCTGCTAAGGCAGAATCCTTTCCCAGAATACTTGTAGCTGTTTGTGGCTTTCTATCTTCAGCATATTTTTCTGTTTTGAGAGTTCTTGGCGGATTCTTCAATGAATTTGTCGGAAGGCTTTTAGCCCCGCTGCTGAACTTTTTGTGCTTTTTATGGCAAGAAATGCTACAATGTGGCTATTGTGTGAAGCATTACTTCCTTTTGTTTGTTTGGAAAGGGCTGATGGCTTCATTTAATTCACCTGGTATTGGAAAGTTGATAAGCTGTCCTTGCCTACTCATCAAGCTAGCCATTACAGGAACACGTTTGCTGGAAGGTCAAGGCTCTTTCCATTTTTTGATGTCTTCGAGTCAGGAACGGATAGCTTTTTTCAGAGAATGCTGCAGCCAAACAGTATTTATCTGGGGCTCTGTACAGAAGGTCACTGGAAAAAAACTTATTTTCTGCTTATACAGAAAGTCACATGATGTCCATTTCAGACTGTGGTAGAAAATAATTGTGTGTATGTTGGTTTTCTTTTTTTTTGGCACTTTTTTTTTCTTCATTAGTTGAAAAAGTGCTGAGAATTAAGCCTTTGGCACAGCTCTGCCTTTCCTTCCTGATGCACAACAGGGGAATACAAGTACATCTGGCTTACAGTTTCTCAAAGAATGTAAATTGTCCTACATTGACTTTTTGTTGTCTTTTTTCAGTTGTGCCCTACTTAAGATTTCAGTGGGAAGTGAGGAGGTTCAGCTCTGGAATTGGTTAATGATGTCCAGGTGATCCTGGTACTTCACTGCCTTTACTCCTCATCTTCTCTCTTTGGTGCAAAATCTTCCCCATATTTCAGTTAGTGCAATAGAGGAAGGAAGCATTGAATTAGGAGCTTGTCAAAGATTATTCACCAGTAACTTCAGAAAGACTGCCAAAAAGAGGGAGGCTAATATATTTTATTTTTCCCTTGAGTGAGGTTGAATGCTAAGTAGATACTTTAATTCTTAAAGAGTTGGAAGATTACGTGAGTCCTCTCTTCTGATAAGCAGATATGATATTGGACGCTTCATAAATTGTGCCAGCAGCTGGAAACTGTTGGAGAAATTTGTTGTATGACTTCTTATATAAATGATAAAGTTCTTTTTTATGTACTTTGGTTTCTTTAATATCCTTTAGTAATGCTTATCTTAGTGAAATCTTTTCTGCAGGTATATTTTCATCTTTGATTGGAAACTCATCTGCAGATCTCTTAATATGTTCAAATGATTGTCAAAGGATGGCACCGAATCTCCTCTCCCACCCTCTTTCCTGATGGCTTTTGTGGGTTTTCTTCCTTTTGTGGAAGGAAGAAGAGGGGAGAAGGGGTGACTGTCAATAGTTAAAGAGGAGGGAAGCAAAAGGTAGTCACCACACTTAAGATTTTTTTCTGGAGGTTTTTGATCTGCCATTTACAATCAGAATTGTTTGCTCTGAGGAAAGGAAGGGGAGAAGAAGCTGGAGGAGAAACCATGCCTGCTTCTTCACAGCAGTTCTGATTGGGATCCCTGCCGCAGGAGCTGGGTAAGTGTGGCAGGCAGCCAACTTGAAAGCATTCTCCTCAAGAAAGCCTGAAACTTGGAAGAGAACAGATGATTCTCATGGTATTTTGAGACCCGTGCCAGCCTCAATCAATTATCAGTCACTTGTGAAGACATTCTGAGAATTGGCAATGCCTGAGTATTAAGGTAAATAATCCAGGAAGGATTAGATATTTATGTGCTAATCAGAACGTTTCCAATTTTATTGTAGAAAGAAGTGGAACCTATTTATATTAGATATAGTTATATGTATATAAAGGAACTATAAATATACACTATTGTGTTATCAGCCTTACAGTGTTTGATTTAATGGCTGGTTTGGGAAGAAAATACCATGTGAAAGGTATCGTGTAATTGTTCAGATTGCTTGATTTCCCCTCCCAGTATATTTTATTTAGTGCAGGTGGCCTCAGACAAGAAGGAAAATCAATGATCCAGCTAATCTAATGGCCTACCATAAATACTCATAAAATTTATTACAGACAAACGTAAACAGCAAAATGCATGTAATGTATGTGACTGCGCGTGCCAAAATATTTCTGTGGGATTTTATGTGAAAACAGAATCTATTTGATGCTGATTTCTGCAAAGTGCAGTGATGGTCGTAGGGTTAGTTTTCTGAAGAAGCTTATTTGATGGCAAAATGCAGGAAGTAACACTGAAATCCCTCACAAATATTATCAGTCGAGAAATCTGATCACCTTGGGTTTCAGCCTCTTTTCTTCGGGGCTTGAGCTGCATTTTCCCGCTGCTGTTCTCCTGATGCCACATTCTCAAGTTCGCATGCGGAGCTCTGTGTCTGGCACCACGCTTCCCGCTTGGATTTGCAAAAGCAGATCCTGTGCCTTTAAAAGCAAGTGGCTCACCGAGTTGTTTGCAGCACAGCTTTTTATCCCGTACAGTATACTCCATGCAAATGAGCTCCCGCTCAGCCCTGCGTGCCTGCCTGCCCTGCTGGGGAGCTCACAAAGGCTCCGCAGACCTCATTCAGCATTCGCCTGTTTAAATCGGCAGATGGAAGGAGGTATCGGCGAGATGAGGATTTATTAGCTGCTCACAATAAAAGACCACACCGGCTCTGCAGAGGATCAGAGAAAGCCTGGTGAATGGGATTGAGTTGTATCTGCTTTCAGCTGACTTTACAATGATGCGTTTAGCTCATGTGACTCGGTCACTTAGCGTGAAGATCAGCTAAAGATTTCCATGTAAATATCTACTCCGTTAAGCACCAGCAACCTGTGTGCTTTTATGGAGACGTTTTTGGTTTGCAGCTGTCACAACTGTGGGAGCAGCAGCGTCTCATCGAGCCGTGCTCGGCAGCCGCCGCTCCGGGCGCATTGTTGGTGCGTTTGCTGAAAGCCCCTCGTAAACACAGCTCTTGGTGAAGTTTGGTTTCTTGCGTGTGCCTGCTGAAATCCTGCAGAGGCTGAAGTTGGGCTGCTTTTAAATACAGTATTTATATTCAGAAGCTATAAATAGGCTCTTCTGAAGCTTTTATCTGGTGATGAAATCTGTTGCTTTAGCTTTCCGCTAAGAAATTGTAGGTCATTGTGGCGCTTGGCGATATTTGCAGCATTTCCTTTTTTCCCTCTCTGCCAGAGGAAGGACAGGGATAGCACAAAGATTCCATGAGATGCTCAGCGATTGGGATGAATGCATCTAGGTTTTTGTTTATTCCAGGGCTGTTTGCAATAGCTGCAGCTCTTAACACCTTTTCTTTTTCAACGCAGCTCCTATTTTAATACACGAATGTAGATAATGTACAGCAAGGGAGAAAGTCTCTTTTGACCTTGCTGGAGTTGAAGGTACAGGCAAACAGAAACTGCAGGGCAGGCTGCAGAATTCTCAGCTGAGGGCTGCTTTTCCTTTTTTTTTTTTCCTTTCCGCCATGGATGACGAAGAGGGAAGGGTTTCTTAAGACAGCTCTGTCAGTGATGAATAGATGAATGAATTCTTACATGTTCAGAACTTGCAACATGTGTTCCCGACCCCTCAGCACCTAAGAGAGGCAAGATCTCAGCAAGAAGCTCAAGAATGCGCCGTGCCTGCTGCATGTGAGAAGGAGAGCAGCATACCTCAGAGATAGCAGAAACAAAAGAGGGTGCGATGGTATTTCTGACATGGGCTTTGTCATACAAAGGAGCAGAGGAATTCAGAATTGGGAAAATTAAATTTAATATTGTTTCATTGTGATTTTTTTCTGATGTTAAATAGCTCCGTTCCCTCTCTGTCCACAGAATGAATTTTTTAGCTGTGTGAGTGTGCAGGTTTTTCAGGCTTTTTTTTAATGAAATGTGACCTGGATTTTGTGAGCTTATTATGATCGGTAACTGAAGGCAGCTGTTGCAGTTTGCGGATCCCTTATGTAGCTGAAGTACATGGAAAGAAAGCAGAAATAAGCGTGTGGGGGATCTGAATTAAATTCCACTCTTCGGCCTTATGTGGAGCTGTGGATTATTATACATTTCTGGACAGTTGTGTATATGAAGGGAAAGAGACATCCAACCTTGGAAAGACTTAGGGAAGTCAAACAGATTTTTTTCCAATGCGACCTGCTAAATCTGTCACAAAAGGGGCAGGCAAACTGACAGACAAACAGTCAGAGACCCTGGCTGTGGTTCTTCATGACAGGGGAGTGAAAGACCGCGTCCTATTTTTAGAGAGTGGATGGAGGAGGGGCGGAGAGGGGAGAAAAAGTTTGAAAATAATGGACTTCTCTAACAGTTAGGGAGCAAAACTGGCCAGCAGCAAGGGAGGCAGCGCCGCGGGGATATGGATGACTCCAGTATTCTGCGGAGGAGAGGGCTGCAGGTAAGTGCAACTTGTCTGTTTTGTCCAGCTGCCTGCAGCGTCAGTGTTCTCAGAAATGATGACAGTCTTTCATGGTAAATCAAGTCAGTATGTGTGCAGTGCTAGCATTTAAGCTTGCTTGTTTTCACCTAGTACACGTATACTCATCAGTAGAAGTAAGATTTTTGCATGAAGTTATAAAATACATTTTGTTAACTTGCTTTAAATTTCAGTCTTGTAAAGCCTTTTGAAAAACATTCTTATGGAAAGAGGCAACGTCTGAACTGTAAGGTTTACCTCTATTTGAAACTTCGGTTTTTGGAGGTATTTTAAACCTTGCAAAGTGACTTTTCTGACTTGCCTCAGAATAGCCATTTTAGCTGAGCATTACTTAGAAATTAAGTGAGATGAGAAAGCAGAGTGAGTATTTTTAATCTATTAGAGCTATGCTTATTTATTACTTCAGATGCGTAGCAATCCAAATACAGATGCAGTGCTACAGAAAAGCAGTTCTTCAGTATCTATTTTTATGTCTATTTTTTCAACAACTGTCGTTACGTTGACACAGATTCTCCTGCATTTTGTTTTAAGCTTCAACATCCCAGTGAAGTTTTGTGAAATTGCAGTGCTGTGACAAATATGGTGATCTGTGTCAGTGTCAATGGGGTGTGACAGCAGAGCCGATTCTCTCTGAGTAGAACAGCTGGAAGTGAGAGAGCTCCCAAATCTGGTGTGAACTGGAAATGGAATCAATTTCTGCTTGAAAGCACCATATTCTTTTTTTTTGCATTGTAATGTGATATAGCCTATTACATACATGCTGGCATAAATAATTGTTTATAGACCATAAAGCTTGCCCGTTAAACAGTAAACAAAACAGCTGACAGGCACAGTTAATTTCACTTCCTTTGAGGCAAGTGAATTCACCATTTTGAAATGCTACCATTCATAGTTTAGGGACGCTTTAAAGTAATCAGGGTGTTACTGCTGCACTACCTGAATGTGCTTTGTCTCACCATTTTAGTTACTGTACGTTTTGATTTTTCTTTGTGCCAGCCTATTAATTTTTCTGAGATTTAGTTTCACATAACATGCTGCATCAATCACAGCACTACTATGATGTGCTTGTTCATTTGCTCAGCATAAAACATCTTGCATTCCATTTTTCTTTAACTGAAGTATATAGGATTGGGACTATTGTTTTCAGTGATGGTGTGTTAATTACTTGGGACTTTGCAAAGAAAATTGTTCCTGACCAGAGAAAATCTAAATCATTCCCTATGTGTTGATTGTTCAGAGCCTAGAATGTGAGCTTAGAATGTCTGAGATGTTGCATCTGTGTGGCCTGCGGGGGCGTGGTTATTATTTTTAGTAGGAAAAATTATAGTAAAATATTTCATACCTTCCTTAATAGTAAATGCTATCTAAGAAGTTGGTTCAACTCTGGAAATAAAATTTAAAAAAAAAAAAATTCTAATATGTTTTTTCTTCACTTTTATTCTTTACTTTATGGTATCACAGATTTGGGATGGGATATTTCTATAACGAAAGTATTTTTGGACAATGTAGATGGAGGTTTAACTGGAGAATAACATTAATTGCACTGGTAAAGATTTCACTCAAGAAGTCTTACAGTTTTGAAGCATGGTGAGAAACACATTGAAGTTGAGTAAATATGTTAAGTGTTTTCAGGAAAGCCAGGGCAGCTTGTTACACTAATGGAGTGAACTGCTACATTGGGGCAGACCCTGCGGTTATTTCTGTGATCAGCAATAAGCCTGGAACTGACCCATGGATGTTGCAAGTTTAATGAAGAACTTAAGTTAATATGCCTCTCCTCTGTTTCTCTGCACCTCTGACGGGACAGAAAAAGCTCCCCAGCTTTCCTAAGGTCCCAGTAACCCAAACTGTTTTCTCTGTTGCTCTGGAAGACGTTACTTTGCTGTTGAGCTGGAAACGAACATGGCAGGTAATGGGAAGGGAATACTGCCATTAGACTTGAGATCCCCGTGGCTTCTGTGGAGTGTCTCGTGGTAAATGTGCTTCTGGTGATGTTTAGCTTTGCCTGCAGTCAGCCCTTCAAACGTGTGGTTGAGGTTAAAGCCTGCGTACTGTGAAGGAAGAGAAGAGAAAAGCTAATTTGGTGTGCTCTTGTGCTACGCAGGATTGGCACACTGACACCTCATTGGCCAAAGCAGTCATCTTCATAATAACAATGAGGAATAAGTGTATTGCAACGGTTTTCATCCCACATCAATGATTGTGCTAATTAGTTCCAAAAATAATCCTAAAAGCTTCACAGAGAAGCTTCTAAAAAATAATAATAATAAAAAAACAAAACGGGGGGGGGGGGGAGGGAGGGGAAGGAGAATAAGAAATCCTTGTGCTAGTAGATCTTAAAGCAGTTCATGTGATGAATGCCAGGTGAGGCACCCTGCAGCCTGAGCACTGTATCTCCTCCTTGTGAGTGTGACAGCTGGGGAGGCGATGTTCTTCCTCAGTGAAATTCATCAGGGTGCTTCAGGCGAGCACTGATCAGCACTGTGAGGCTGGAGGGGCCCAAATGTCTGCTGGTGACACCAATAGACATGTTGGGACTGGTTTAACACGTGCAGCATGGTGGAATTGATAATTTTAGTAGCCTTCCATATTTACTGCCTCTAAGGGCCGTTGTCTGTACGTGCTTGTGTAGGTACGTGTAAATGACGTGTGCTCATGTAGGTGTAATTCACAGCTCCACCAAGAATGCTTCAGACAATGCACTCACGGGACAGCAGGCAGTAGGGCAGATGTGCAAGTCCAAGAGTAAGGTAATGCTGGATTTATTTTCCATCTTGGACTGCTGGGGGTGTTTTTAGGAGAAATTGTGGCTCACAAAAGTGACTACTGAAAAGATTCCCTGGGAAAAATTACAAAACCACTGGCTTGTGTTGGCTCTGCTGAGGCAATGCATTTTAATTACTTTTTTGGGAGTCTGGGTGCTGGTGGTTTGGTGTTAGAAAGTCACCGGTGAAAACAAATTACTTCCCCATTCCAATCAGGATGTTGGTGACTTTTGAAATAAACATCCCAGCCTAAATTGGGCCCTCTAATCCAACCCTTGCACTCAAAGCCCTGCTAATTCCAAAGTGAGATCGGGTTGCCCAAGGTCTTGTTCAGACTGGTTTGGAGTATTTCGAGGGATGGAGAATTTGCAGCTTTTCTTGGCACCTGTTCTGGTACTTACCCACTTGTGCTGTGAAAAATCTCATTTCCTTTATATTTAGTTGATAGAGAAGAATGTGTTGGTCAGCCTGCTGATACTATTTCACATCTAAATTGACTTTTGCAGATTAACGGAAACAAACAGATGAATTATTTTCAGCAGAACTGTGTGACCACAGTGTTTCTGCCTTATCTCAATAACCTGAGATTCTTTATTTTTAAACTGAGTGGATTTAGACTTGTGCTACTCTGGTTTTCCCAAGGTTTCAATGTTTTAGGGTTTTGTTTTGCTTTTGTATCTTCCTGTCCATTGGACATCTTAGTGGACTCCTGCTTATTGCTGGTGATGTTTCAGTCTTTCTCTTGCTTCCTGCAACTGAGTCCTCAGCCTGAATATGATGAAACACTTATTTTGTGTGTTATTCCTGCTGCCTAACAAAAGCAAACAGAGATTTTGTTTCCCTTTTCTCTCTCACTGCTGAGAGCTGTACAGGAGCCTGCAATCAGAAGGAGCAGGTGCCTTTCCTGTCTCCCAACTCTTTGTTCAAACAACAGAAATTTCAAATGAGGCTGTTACTTCTTTTCAGCAGTGTTTCTGAAGTTCCTCTCGCTTTGTTCTTTCCAGTTGTTTTGAAAATACCCAGGATCTGTTCCTTTCTCATTTTCAGTGGCTGCCTGTTGAAGGACCTGCGGTGCATGACTTTCAGGTTCCCTTGTGTTCTTCCCTCACAGGCAGCGTTTTCTGTTCAAATCCGGTTCTTTTTGCCCTGTTAAAATAAGCCATTAGCTGTCACCACTTCATCCAGTTCCCTAACAAATGTATGTGCGCTTTTTCCTCATGCTTCTGTTACCTCTATTACCTGAAAGACACTCGAGATCACTGCTGTGTACTTTTCTCTTCTCTGGGGGCCTTCTTCTGCTGTGATCCATGCTGTAAATGGCCTCGTGTGGTGTAAGCAAACAACCTAAAGAAGCTGCAATTGTTCCTATAGGCTAAATCAGTATATTTGTATGACCTGTATATATCACCTTCCTTGTTTGTTCAGTCCGTTTTCAGTGCATTCTGTTTGGTCTCAAACAGTGAGTGCTGACTGCTCGTAAGAAATAGCAAACTAGTGGAAATGAAGATCCAGGTGGAACAAACCAGATTTTCTCGGGATGTATTTGTGTGTGTGTGTGTGTGTGTACACAGACATACTACGCACCCAGTTTGACATAGCTGTGTGGTAGTATTGATGGAGGACCAAGAAAGTGCTTCTGATAATGGAATGTTCTTTTAATTTGTGGACTTCCTTTTTGGCTAATGAACTTGGACTACTGACATAAGTTACTCCCTAGGGACAAGTGATAATGCAGACGTGGAGCTGCTTCTACTGTACTGGGCAGAGAGCTGTGCGTCTGGTTCTATTTATTTATTTTTGATGTATCACAATGTAAATTATATCGTGAAGGTGGCTACAAATGTTTGAGGCTATCTGGTTTTGTTGTTGCTCATATGTGTACAGAAATAGTAGGGAAAAAAATGTTTGGGGACGTTTGAGTCCCTGTGAAAATGAACTTGTATTTTGAATGCCATCTCAGAGTGAAAATGGGCAGTGAATTGCTTTACAATAGCTGCTGTATGTTTGCTTTTACTCTTCTCACATATGTAAGAAATTAGAGTTTCTGTCTGAAAAATCTTACTTGTAAGTGCAAATAAGGAAAGTAATGGAGAGTGTGGTGTGTCAAATTTCAGATGCTTGTCAGTCATTATCTGCAGCACTTGTGGTATTTGAGCTGCACTCAGATGTGGTCAGGCCTTCTCAACACCAGCGTTC